AGTTAGATTAGGTAAGGTTAGGGTAGGTCAGGTTAGGTCAGGTCAGGTCAGGTCAGGTTGTGTTAGGTCAGGTTAGGTTAGGGTAGGTTAGGTCAGGTTAGGTTAGGGTAGGTTAGGTCAGGTTAGGTTAGGTTAGGGTAGGGTAGGTTTGTCAGGTTAGGTTAGATTAGGTTAGGGTAGATTAGTTTGGGGTAGGTTGATGTGTTAGGTTAGATTAGGTTAGGTTAGATTTGGTTAGGTTAGGGTAGATTAGGTTAGATTAGGTATAAGATTGATGATCCGTGGGTAATGGTGTTGAGCCCTTGAGCCATACAGGTAAGCAAGGTTACCTGTAGGAGATGCAGGGGTTGACCCTCACCACCCACTGCTGACGCTGGCCGGGGGTGGAGGGTGGTCTTCTTCACCCTTCCGCATCCTGTGTTGGTGCTTGATGTAATAATTGTCTGCGTCTTAAGTAATTATTTGTTCAGTCTTTATGAGAGATTGTAATTGTGGCGTGTTATTACTGTTGTTGTTGTGTATGTGTGTGTGTGTGTGTGTGTGTGTGTGTGTGTGTGTGTATGTTCAGTCTTTTTCTCTTTTTACTCACTCAAATGTCCAAATTAGGTTAGATTAGTTAAGGTTAGGTTAGGCTACGTTAGGTCATGTTGGGTCAGGTTAGGTCAGGTCAGGTCAGTGATCAAAGCCATTGATATAGTTAAGACCTGGTAACATTATCCTCTACACCGGTACCTTTGATCTAAATAACCAGAGTGACTCAGAACCCGTCATTGACCACAATAACCGCGCGGCTCGGGGAGAAAGTCACTCGCTCTGTCAGTCTGTCAGTCAGTAAGTCAGTAAGTCAATCAGTGAGGTAAGAAAGGCGTACATTGATCTCACTAACGCAGCTTTAAAATGATTCACCTGACATTCACAGAGTAGATAGATAGATAGATAGATAGAGAGATAGATAGATACTCCCCAAAATAGTCATACAAGTTCATGTATACAAACAATGTTTATTCTGGTTAGGTTAGGTTAGGTTTGTTTAGATTGGATTAGGTTAGGTTAGGTTAGCGATAGGTTAAGTTAGATTAGGTTAAGTTATGTTAGTTTAGGTTAGCGTTAAAATTACTTTAGGTTAGGTTACGTTAGTTTAGCGGAAGGTTAAATTACGTTAGCTTAGGTTAGGTTAAGTTAAATTAGGTTAAGTTAGGTGAGCGGAGGTTGTTAGAGTAGGTTGCGTTACGTTAGCTTAGGTTAGGTTAAGTTATGTTAGGTTAGCGAAGGGTTAAGTTAGAGTAGGTTACGTTACGTTAGCTTAGGTTAAGTTATGTTAGGTTAGCGAAGGGTTAAGTTACAGTAGGTTACGTTACGTCAGTGTAGGTTAAGTTAGTTTAATACCAGGGTAAAATAAACTGAGGTGTTAAATCATGTTATCGGTGAGTCTTGTTCCTCTACCCTTGATATTAACACTGAAGCGAGAGGTCTGTCTTATGGCTCCCCTGACCGTCTGTCCACTGCTTAGCGTACACCACATCTTGATCTGCCCCGTTTGTGTCCACTTTCTTGATACGTAGTTTGGTTTAGTTCCCTTGACAGTGTGAAGAGGGAGGGGGGGGGAAGAGACGTAGGGTTATTAAATGAGGAAGAATGGAGAGAGAAAATAGTGAGAGAGAGAGAGGAAGACGGATAGAAGGTGGAGAGAGGAGGGGTGAGAGATAGAGAGAGGGAGGAGGAATAGAAAGAGCGAGGGGTAGAAGACATGGAGGAAGGGAAAGAAAGGAGGGGTGGAGGGAGAGAGAGGAGAGAGAGACAGCATTTAGCATGAATTACGAGAGGTGGCAATAATAGCACTATCATGGTGAGGGGGAGGGAAAGGAGATCAGAGGGGAGGGGGAGGGGGAGGGAGTGAAGAGAATGGTGAGCGGGTAGAGGTTGATAGGAGAGGTAGGAGGGTAGAGAAGGGAGGGTGAGGCTGTCTGAGGAATTTATTATTTCACATGTGGAGAGCCGCCTACACTCACACCCCCATCCCAGCCATTGTTCTCTCTCATTCATCAAGAAATCCAACCAAGCTCAATAAAACTCTCTTCGTAAACGCCCATAAGGTCCACAAGTTAACCATCTTCTCTTAAGTAAGGTGGTAAGGCCGATGATAATTGCCACCTATAATGCTACAACACAGAAGGTGCAGCTGAGGTGACTTTGAGATTCTGTTGGTGTCTAATTTACCATGGGGGAATTTCAGGAAGCTCCTGTACCCAGCTAACCTCTAAAGCTAACCTAACCTATCCTTCTTAAAGCTAACCTAACATAACTTCTCTAAAGCTAACCTAACATAACATCTCTAAAGCTAACCTAACATAACCTCTAAAGCTAACCTAACCTCTCTAAAGCTAACCTAACTTAACCTCTAAAGCTAACCTCCCCCCCCCTTAGGTAGCATTGGGGTGAAATAATTTGAGTTGGTTAATATTCACGAGATTTAAATGATTGATATAAGAATATTGAGAAATTTGGCCCATGATGGAACCTGTAAGTCATTGATTTCAGGTGAAGTGGGCCCCAATGATGATGAATAGGGGCCCAATAGGACTGGGCCTAAATTGTAATGGTTTAGTTTGGGTTAGATTAGGTTAGATTAGGTTGGGTTTGCTTACATTAGGTTCATTTGGTTTATGGTAGTCTGAGGTCACTATTTGTAGACAAGTCACTACACAGCGGTTGTATTGTACAGTATATATATGTATTGTCGTTTGTTTACTCTGTCCAGTCATTGTTGAGGCTCGCCCCCCTCGCCTGGCCTTGTGGGAGACAAGTGGCGCCTCTAGGCTTTAGCGGCCTTCACCCGAACCTGCTCCTCACCTTGCACCTACCCTCCCCCACCCTTTTCCTCTTCAAAATGTCGTAATGTGTAGATATATGATAAAAGAAGAAAAAAAAACAAGGAGGAACAATGTTGAGTGTGTTTTTTGTAAGTGTTTAACTCACGGGAGAATATATGATATCTGATTGTTTGTCTTGTTAAGGAGTTTTATGGCAGTAAGCTCAACAAGACGGCTGGATTCTTAGAGGTTCATAGGGAGAAGCGCGCGTCCTTCAGGTTTCTTCAGTGGCGTGTCTGAGGAACTGTGCCGTGCCGCCCTGTACAGACACGAGCACCCTGGTGGCTGGGGTGAAAGTCGCCATCCATGATAAACACTGTGGCGTATTGAAACCTGTCCTGTGGTGGCACCCATAGTGTGTGTGTGTGTGTGTGTGTGTGTGCTGACTGTCAACTTTTAGCTCCAGAATAGCGACGCGAGTTTCCTGCTTAGGACTGTAGCTCTAGGTTCTTTCAGCTGTGCTTTTCCTGTTGATACAATAATATTTCCCTTATAATTAACGACTAAAGCGATATTTTTCGTACAACTAACGACTGTTCGTAAAACAACATGTTTTCCCTATAAGTGAACGTAGGACTGACTTGGTGGCCTTAATGGCGTCGATTTTGTAATGAGACTTGAGGGGGATCGATGAATTTCAGAATGGACACCGCGACTGCTGTTGTCTCGGTAGAATTGTCAGTATCCTTCGTCCGTTGTGTCAGATTATCTCAACATAATTTTGTGAAGATAGTTTTGAGCGACTGTACATGTACCCATATTAAATCTCAACAATGTCTTTTGAAATCATGATTATCTCCTTCAATGGTAACACAACCCGCTGGATATATCACCTCCCCACCCTCATAATCTTCCTCTCCCCAAGTACAAGTGTTGAAAATATCCCTGGTTAGGGTAGGTTACATTTGGTTAGGTTTAAATTATATTAGGTTAGGTTTGTTAAGTTTTAAGTTATATTAGATACTTTAGGTTAGAATTGCTTTGGTTAGGGTAGATTAGCGTTTGGTTTGTCAGTTAGGTTAGCAGTTAGGTTGGTTAATCCTTAGGTAAAATAAGATCGGAGCTAAACCATATATAGAATTTATTTCAAAAGTAGACAAACGAAAATTGGCGTCAACTAAAACTTCAACCCACGCCATACGAACAGCCCCCCCCCCTTCCCATCTCTCTACGGTGCTGGCCTACCCACTTTGGTACCATCCCACCTAGTACAGCGAATGTCTCCCTGGTTGGTTAGGTTAAGATGGGGACTATTAGCACTGAGTCCCATTTAGTATTCAACTTAACGTAAAGGTAAAAAATAAGCGTAGGGGAGGGGGTGGGATCTCTCTAGGTGGTCGTTATAAAGTTATAAATGGATGGAATATTTTTACACCCACACATGGATTTTTATTTGCCAACTGGTCCGGGCGGTTTGTTTCTCTTCCCAGGCGTTATGGGATTCATTGCTACGAACGAGGATTTTATTTTTGAATCGTATATATATAACTGAGGTATAATGAGAGTCTATAGTTTCGACACCATTTACGCTCCCGTGTTATATTTATTGTTAATGTTAAGTCAGGTGAAGGTGTTCTCGTTCCATCAGATAAGACGATAATTTAACCCCTAGTATGTGAGTGTCAGGTCTGGTTATGTGACGTCACGTAGTAAGGATATCCGGTAGACAATGTTTACTTCAGGATGCCTCACTTAAAGTCTCTCTGACGAACGATCCAGACTCACCTAACTTAAGCTGTCTATTATAATTAACCCTCACCCAGTGCCTATTGTCTTCAACCTAACCTTCGAGAGTGTATATATATTCCAGTAAGATTTAGAGCGGTGTGATGTCTTGGTACTCGTAATGAGGCTGTGACCAGTTGTGTGCTCTGCCTGAAGAACTTTTTAAAGTGTTTCATGATTCAGACTGTTCCAAATATCACATGTTATATCCGCTCAAAATTTCCTTTAATCGGCGTAGTGTTTTTCTATATTATCATCTTATGCACACGGAAACCGGTTTCCTAAAACTCTATTTCCTGGAAAGAAGCATATACATTTCCCTTCAGTAACAATCTTCATATCATTTATTAAGGAGCGATGTAAGGGACAGCAACAGTAACAACCCACCTTTTCTCTGTGTTCCAGGCTCAACACACACAACACACCATGTACCTGAACGTGAACCTAACACGCCACCTCCGGCTGCAGGCGAGGGCTCCTGTACCACACCTAAGACGCCGGAGATCCTCAACTCCCTCATCAACCTGACTAGTCCACCCCTGCCACTCTCCTACTCCCAGTATCAGAGCCAGGTCAGTACCAGAGCCAGGTCAATACCGGAGCCAGGTCAGTACCAGAGCCAGGTCACTGTTCGAGCCAGGTCAGTGTTAGAGCCTGGTCAGTGTTAGAGCCAGGTCGGTGCCAGGTTAGTGTTAGAGCCAGGTCGGTGTTTGAGCCAGGTCGGTGTTAGAGCCAGGTCAATACCAGAGCCAGGTCAGTACCAGAGCCAGGTCAGTACCAGAGCCTGGTCAATACCAGAGCCAGGTCAGTACCAGAGCCAGGTCAGTGCCAGAGCCTGGTCAGTGTTCGAGCCAGGTCGGTGCCAGGTCAGTGTTAGAGCCAGGTCGGTGTTTGAGCCAGGTCGGTGTTAGAGCCAGGTCGGTGTTAGAGCCAGGTCGGTGCCAGAGCTAGGTCAGTACCAATGCCAGATCAGTGTTAGAACCAGGTCAGTTTTAGAGCCAGGTCGGTGCCAGAGCCAGCTCAGTGTTAAAGCCAGGTTGGTGCAGAGCTAGTTAGTACCAGAGCCAGGTCAGCATAGATCCAGGTCAGTACCAGAGTCAGCTCATTACTAGAACCAGGTCAAACCAGAGCAAGGTCAGCTCCAGAGCCAGGTCAGTACTAGAGCCAGGTCAGTACTAGAGCCAGATCAGTCCAAGATCCAGATAAATCCCAGAGCTAATTACTGCTAGAGAGTTCATTACTGGAACCAGGTCAATGCTAAAGCCAGATCACCACCAGAGCCAAGTCAGTGCCATAACCTGATCAATCCTAGAGCCAGGTCAATATTAGAGCCAAGGCAGTAACAGAAACAGGTACCACACCCAGGTCAGTACTAGGGCTTGGTCATTACCAGAACAGGTTTTATACCAGGTCAGTACAATAGACACACTGTACCTGTAATAGGCAATACCTTCATATATAATTTTTGTATTTTATGATGAATTAATTTGTTTATATTTAAGAATGTGAAGATTTTTGTATTCCATCATTCAGTGTAGCTGTCAGGAGCTGGTGTCGGCTCCCATACTGTGTACTGTAGTTCATACTGTACTGTAGTAGGAGTGTGGGTCGTGTCTCCTGTATAATGTATAAAATTGGGTACTGTAGTTGTGTAGATAAAGGTGTTGCAAGTGTTGAACCAAGTTATAGTGATTGTGTTTGTTTATACAGGTGGATGGCGGGGCAATACTGAGTCCCATCAGCGACGTGAGCAGTGAAGAATCAGCAGAGATGAGCATGTGTCGTGGCAGAGAGGACCGATACATGAAGAACCCGGGCGGCGGTGGGGGTGGTGGAGGTGGCCTGGTGGGCGGGTCCCCCGGCACCTCAGGTAGGGCGGCCCCTGGCTGGGGCATCGCCCCCCTCCACCCCTGACCTGCCCTCACCTGTCAACACAGTAGAGGCCACTAAGACGGCACTCATCAAGGAGGGCCTCAAGCTACAGATCCGCACTAAACTACAAGCCGCCGGCGTCGATGATCCTGAGTCTCTCCTCGAAGACACTAAGTACATAAAGGATGAAACCGCTGATGTGAGTATACTGCCCCCCGCCCGCCAGTAGTGTTTGTCTACTGTAGCCAGTGGCTCTACTTCTAGGTACTGTAACTATACTGTACAGTACTGTAGTTGATGTTCACTTACACAGCCCCACGACCTCACCTCCCTGAGGACATTGAGGCACATCATCACCAGTTACACCAATATGAATTTTACCATCGGTGACATTATCACATTTAATTGTCAACTCTTAATATTATTTCTCTCAATTGTAATGGGATATAATTTACAATAGTTGTATAAGGTATTAAAAGTGTTTATTTCTATGGACACACACACACACACACACACACATAACACATACATACATACATACATACATACATACATACATATACATACACACACACACACACACACATATATATCCAAAACACACACACACACACACACACACATACACACATACATACATATATATGCACACACACGCACATATATTCAAAAAAAAAAAAAACACACACACACACACACATATACACATAGTACACACACACACAGAGTATACACACACAACACACACACACACACAGTATACACAGTACACACACAGTATACACAGTACACACACACACACACACAGAGGTATACACAGTACACACACACACAGAGTATGCACAGTACACACACACACACACACACACACAGTATACACAGTACACACACACACACAGTACACACACACACACACAGTACACACACACAGGTACAGGTCATCCAGCAGTGTCTCCAAAAATCAACCCAGAGTACTGACAGTTGTGACACGTTGGCCTTAGAGAGTAACAGTTCCGTCACAACAGGTAAAATTGACGTGCTAATGATGTGAGGATGAGGCGTGGTGCTAGAGACGTGTGGTGATTGACGCGACGTGTTAGTTAATCATCATGTTTGTCACAACAACAGCTGACAGAGGAGGACGAGGAGAGACGAAGGAGACGACGAGAGAGAAACAAGATAGCAGCCACTAAGTGTAGGAATAAAGAAAAGAGAAGACTTACGTACTCATGAATGTAAGTCCCAAGTCTCTCTGTTGCTGTCTCTCTCTCATTCTGTTGCTGTCTCTTTATCTCTGTTGCTGTCTCTTTATCTCTGTTACTGTCTCTATCTCTGTTGCTGTCTCTTTATCTCTGTTGCTCTCTCTTTATCTCTTGTTCCTCTCTCTTTATCTCTTGCTGTCTCTCTTTATCTCTCTGTTGCTGTCTCTATCTCTGTTGCCTCTCATCTCTTGCTTGCTTCTTTATCTCTGTTGTTGCTGTCTCTATCTCTGTTGCTGTCTCTTCTATCTCTCTGTTGCTGTTCTATCTCTTGTTGCTCTCTCTATCTCTGTTGCTGTCTTTATCTCTGTTGCTGTCTCTCTCTCTATCTTCTGTTGCTCTCTATCTCTCTGTTGCTGTCTCTTATCTCTGTTGCTGTCTCTATCTCTCTGTTGCTGTCCTTATTCTCTGTTGCTGTCTCTTATCTCTGTTGCTGTCTCATCTCCCTGTTGCTGTCTCTCATCTCTCTGTTGCTGTCTCTCATCTCTGTTGCTGTCTCATCTCTGTTACTGTCTCTCTATCTCTCTGTTGCTGTCTCATCTCTGTTGCTGTCTCTATCTCTCTGTTACTGTCTCTATCCTGTTGGTCTCTCTATCTCCTGTTGTCTCTCTATCTCTGTTACTGTCTCTCTATCCTCTGTTGCTGTCTCTATCTCTGTTACTGTCTCTATCTCTCTCTGTTACTGTCTCTATCTCTGTTACTGTCTCTATCTATCTCTCTGTTGCTGTCTCTATCTCTGTTGCTGTCTCTCATCTCTCTGTTACTGTCTCTCTATCTCTCTGTTGCTGTCCCTTTATCTCTGTTACTGTCTCTATCTCTGTTGCTCTCTCCTTATCTGTGTTGCCATCCTTTATCTCTCTGTTGCTCTCTCTCTATCTCTGTTGCTCTCTCTTTATCTCTATTGCTCTCTCTTTATCTCTCTGTTGCTCTCTCTTTATCTCTGTTGCTCTCTCCTTATCTGTGTTGCCATCCTTTATCTCTCTGTTGCTCTCTCTCTATCTCTGTTGCTCTCTCTTTATCTCTATTGCTCTCTCTTTATCTCTCTGTTGCTCTCTCTTTATCTCTGTTGCTCTCTCCTTATCTGTGTTGCCATCCTTTATCTCTCTGTGTTGTTATCCCCTCATTTCTTTGTCTCATCAACTTCATGTCTACTATTCTCTTCATTCACCCATATTCTCTCTTCCTTCTTTCCATTAGTCATTCAGAAGTTCATGTTTGGTAGAGTTGTAATGGTCAGTGGCATGTATATCTTTCCATTAGTCATTCAGAAGTTCATGTTTGGTAGAGTTGTAATGGTCAGTGGCATGTATATCTTTCCATTAGTCATTCAGAAGTTCATGTTTGGTAGAGTTGTAATGGTCAGTGGCATGTATATCTTTCCATTAGTCATTCAGAAGTTCATGTTTGGTAGAGTTGTAATGGTCAGTGGCATGTATATCTTTCCATTAGTCATTCAGAAGTTCATGTTTGGTAGAGTTGTAATGGTCAGTGGCATGTATATCTTTCCATTAGTCATTCAGAAGTTCATGTTTGGTAGAGTTGTAATGGTCAGTGGCATGTATATCTTTCCATTAGTCATTCAGAAGTTCATGTTTGGTAGAGTTGTAATGGTCAGTGGCATGTATATCTTTCCATTAGTCATTCAGAAGTTCATGTTTGGTAGAGTTGTAATGGTCAGTGGCATGTATATCTTTCCATTAGTCATTCAGAAGTTCATGTTTGGTAGAGTTGTAATGGTCAGTGGCATGTATCTTTCCATTAGTCATTCAGAAGTTCATGTTTGGTATTGTAATGGTCATTGTAGTCATTCAGTTCATGTTTAGAGTTCATGTTATATCTTTCCATTAGTCATTCAGAAGTTCATGAGAGTTGTAATGGTCAGTGGCATGTATATCTTTCCATTAGTCATTCAGAAGTTCATGTTTGGTAGAGTTGTAATGGTCAGTGGCATGTATATCTTTCCATTAGTCATTCAGAAGTTCATGTTTGGTAGAGTTGTAATGGTCAATGTATATCTTTCCATTAGTCATTCAGAAGTTCATGTTTGGTAGAGTTGTAATGGTCTTGTATATCTTTCCATTAGTCATTCAGAAGTTCATGTTTGATAGAGTTGTAATGGTCAGTGGCATGTATATCTTTCCATTAGTCATTCAGAAGTTCATGTTTGGTAGAGTTGTAATGGTCAGTGGCATGTATATCTTTCCATTAGTCATTCAGAAGTTCATGTTTGGTAGAGTTGTAATGGTCAGTGGCATGTATATCTTTCCATTAGTCATTCAGAAGTTCATGTTTGGTAGAGTTGTAATGGTCAGTGGCATGTATATCTTTCCATTAGTCATTCAGAAGTTCATGTTTGGTAGAGTTGTAATGGTCAGTGGCATGTATATCTTTCCATTAGTCATTCAGAAGTTCATGTTTGGTAGAGTTGTAATGGTCAGTGGCATGTATATCTTTCCATTAGTCATTCAGAAGTTCATGTTTGGTAGAGTTGTAATGGTCATGTGGCATTGTCTTGTCATTAGTCATTCAGAAGTTCATGTTTGGTAGAGTTGTAATGGTCAGTGGCATGTATATCTTTCCATTAGTCGTTCAGAAGTTCATGTTTGGTAGAGTTGTAATGGTCAATGGCATGTATATCTTTCCATTAGTCATTCAGAAGTTCATGTTTGGCAGAGTTGTAATGGTCAGTGGCATGTATATCTTTCCATTAGTCATTCAGAAGTTCATGTTTGGTAGAGTTGTAATGGTCAGTGGCATGTATATCTTTCCATTAGTCATTCAGAAGTTCATGTTTGGTAGAGTTGTAATGGTCAGTGGCATGTATATCTTTCCATTAGTCGTTCAGAAGTTCATGTTTGGTAGAGTTGTAATGGTCAATGGCATGTATATCTTTCCATTAGTCATTCAGAAGTTCATGTTTGGCAGAGTTGTAATGGTCAGTGGCATGTATATACAGGGACTATGGGGGAACTGGATTGGTGTTATATTAGTTAAGGAGGTATTTTTTTTGGGGGGGTGGGGGGGGTGATTGATAGATAACATATTGCTTCTTTTGGAACCTAAGTGTGGAAAGGAGATATATACAGTGTAGTGTGACTGTGGATTTAATTATATACACAGTAAAGTCAAATGTGTCGATTGATAGATATTTTCCATCACACTACAAAGGTTTTATGCTTAGATACGCTATACAGTAAACATCTTTCTATATACACATGCTCTCTCTAGCTTCAAAAACAGTGTCATATCAACTTTGAATCCCTGTTATGACCTGATATAGTCTTTTCAGGGACTGTAGAAATGTTAGATTGTGAGAATTTTTAATATACAGTACAGTATGTAGAGAATTTTAAAAGGTGACTTTGATGTAAATTATCTTAACACAGATCTAATTTTCATCTTGTTTTTTCAGGAATCGGAGTCGGTGGAAGATATGAACGTGAGACTCAAGACAGAGATCCAGAGGCTGACATCTGAAAAGATGAACTTGGAGAAGCTGCTCGGCGACCCTAAACACCGTGCGTCTTGCCGCCATACCCCACGCTGTTCTAAGGCCCTGAGGCCACCGCTCGTTATTGTTACACCGGCAGACTCACCCGACACCACCTCTTGCTCTTCCTCCTCCCCAACTTCCTCTACCTCCTCCTCATCCTCGGGCAGCCCCACCTCCCCGCCTTTGATCAGCCCCAACAGCTACAAGGCCCTGCCCGAGACCACTATCCAATCCGTGCTACACACCCAAGTTTCCTCACCCATGACGTCTCCACCAGGCACCATCTCCTCGCAGTGTGCCACTTCCTGTGCCTCATCGTCTTCATCACAATTCTTGGCACCAAAATATAGCCCATCTCAGAATATGAGTCAAAGGCACCATCCGTACCTATTCCCAGGTCGCTCCCAGCAGTCGTCGGCTGCCATGGGGGAGAAACAACACTATGGAAATCCACCCTCCCCCACTGGCCCCCACACCAAGCCTGCGTACAATTACTCATGCTTGGGAACGCCCAGGACACACGAATTTATTCCACCAAATCCACCGTCACAAAAATCAGTATTTACGACGAAGTCACGCAATGCCAGTTTAGTGCGGTATAGTCCATACAGTGGACGCTCCCCACCCATACCGTCCCCACTGGCCACCCATGCCCATCCTCAGCCAGGGGCACTGCCCTGTGGGGACACCTACGTTCAGTCAAACAATAACAATGGGTGTGGGCGTGAGGATCAACAGACCTTCGTGACAGACATGCACACCAATCAGTTTTTCCCGCCGTGCTCCTACAGCAGCATGTGACCCACGGCTGGGGGTGTCTAACCCCAGCTCACTGACAAGTTTGGTTTTAGAGTCACATGTTTCCCCACGTGAATGACATGCCGTTTGAGATGGGCTCCTTGTATATGTTGTAAATGATCACAATTTGATTTGGTCGGCTGCTCCCCAGGAGGGTCGACCATGCCACACAGTCTCTGGGACTGCTGCACAAGTTTGCTTTAATTGTGGCCCGTCATTTTTGGGTGAAGTTTACACATGTTCGCTTGCCTTGTATTTTTGCAAATGGATAAGTTTTGTTGTTGCATGTTGTTATATCATATTAGACCTCGTATTTGATGACATTGAACATTTAGCCAAGAGGCAGGATTGCGCCATAACTGTTAATAATGTGTTATTGTTGCCCTGTTCTTGCTAGTGCTGGGTTTATTTGTGTGTTTGTGTGTGTGAGTGAGAGCTCCAGAGCCTGGTCACTTAGGATTAGCACCTCTCATAAGACATATCCGTTATATTTCCCAAGTGTCTTGTAATACGTGATCCATACATATATATTTTTATTAGCTTTATTTTCATAAGTGAAATGTTGGCAAATATAACATGATGCTAAACGATTTAGGTACAAAACTCCACAACATTCCTCTCTCCCTGTATCATGGTGAAGGACATATTAGAGCATGACCACACCAGGATACCCTGTGGCCCCCAACCACCAGCAGGTCTGTAGTGCCACACAATCTGGGCCACACTCCTGCTGTGCTGGCCATGCTCACATAGCAGCTGCACTCACCTCCCACCACCAGCCTGTGATGTGCAGTACTGTGCTGCTACTCAGCATCAGTATTCCACCAGCTGCTACCTGATTTTGGACTAGTGTGACCTCATTATCAAGGTTGCACAGTATTGTAGACTGTATCCCATTGCAGACAATGTTCGTGCCATGTCTGTGTGTATCGCACCCTTCGTGTTTGTGAAGGTGTTTGTATACTGTATCCCCCTCCCCTTGTGTATCGCCAGTTACTAGGCGTCGGCCGCTGGTGTCCCAGGCGGAGAGCTTGGGAAGGCCTGGTGCCCGTCCGACGTCATTAGTAATTGTCAGGTGAAGGGCTGCCGAGGGCCAGGTGTCCTGGCTGCTCCCATACCTGAGCTGCTCCCTACCCTTACCAGCCCCCAAGTTCCGAACAGCTGGCTGTTAGGGAATCTAATTGTCCTCTGTTGTGTGTCTTGCGTAGGCTTTAAGCTGCTCAGATCCCTCTTGCTACATGGTCGCATTGTCTAAAAGACATTGTTTCTCAACTAGTGACTGCAGGCATCCTGCCAGCCTGAATTATACATGATTATAGTCATCTGGGTTTTTTACCGGACAATATATAATTTTTACGAGGTCTAGGACCATACAGGTATTTAGACTCAACAGTTGAGTTATGCATTGCCAATATTATGATCACATCCTGAGGCTTATACCGGTACCTACAACCAACTTCCTATTGTGTCATAGATCTTGTTACCAACCTCTTCTTGCTGGAACCAACTTCCTTCCCTATCCATTGCAGCAATCTTTTAATCCTAACAGCAAACCCAGTCAATTACTGCCAAGCAACTGGCTGTAATGACCACCTTGCTCTCCCCATAACCATGGCCTCCTCCAGCACAGCAAAGGAGGAGGGGAGAGGAGAAAGAATGGCAGAGGAAATGGTGTCGGGCACAGTACAAGTGGTCTGCTGCCCTAGCCGTCACGACCCTACTGTCGCAGCTGTCTGCACTTGATATTTCCAAGCCGTCCGGCTCACCTGCAATTAGCAGCTCAGAGCCATGTTTACAATCTCATTATATCAATCACCCAAAGGAATGCCCAAGAAGTTAACTAGGTAAGATACATTAGTTGTGAAATTGATAATAGTACAGTAGTAGCTAATGACAGTAAGTTTGATTTTCTTAATACATAATACTTTTACTTCACCTCATACCCTAATGAGCTTAATGATTTATCATCAACAAATTACATAAGTGCTTTGAACATTTTGACTAACAAGATGCACTAGATGAAACTTAACATTATATATTCTCTCCTGTACAGGAATGGACGGCCGCGGTGGGTGAGGCAAAGCTCGTTAAATATAGGTCACTCACTCACACTTGGCAATACTGCCGACGCTGCCCCACACTACCGCCACACTCGATCACACGCAACTCGACGACTGTTTATAACGAATTTACGACGAAAACGACATCGCTGATCCGTTACCCCTCACCGCCGAGAGCACCAGCCACCGATCATGACGTGGTGGTGCCCAACGCCCTCCCCCCAGGAGCGGCGACATTCCAGGTGTGAGGGGACCACGAGGTCAGGATGACACTGACTCACACCAACTATGTCTTCTACCTGCACATTGTTGCAGGAAAATTCACAAATTGAGATTTATATTATGTACATTATTATGCTGTTAAAAGCGCAAATGGGAATCTTTATTACATCGGCATCATTTAAGGTTGGTCATGTATATTAAAAAGACATTACCTAAGCATATACTATCAACTGCTAATGTGCTATCAGATATTTTTATAAAGCTGCTACATTGAAGACAAAGCAGAATATTAAATTTGCATTATTCTTATTTAAGTGTGTTATGATTTACCTTTAACATGATGAAAACATTGACACTTAGATATTATTGTGTCTCTCAACAGCAGTCTCTCTCATGGACATCTAAATGCTCTTTATTGTTGAGGCTAACATTGTGATACAGTACAGTAATTGTTTAAACGGTTTTCTCTAGTTGTATGATAGTTGCTGAGAGACCTGGATGATATAGCATTGGGTAAGGCTAGTTACAAGCTGCATACACGAGGGATACAAAAAATAGGGTTACCGGTACTTAACTTAGTCAGATATGTTTCATTTTTATACAAAAATGTCCTTATCCCGTAAATTTTTAGAAGTACTCTACTGTATGATTTACATACAGGCAAAACCCTGATTGATAAATAACTATTATGAAACTGTCTGCAGGTGAATGTCTCTTGTCTAAAACTAAAATTATTAAAATAGAATAAGAGAAATTCAGTGAAACTAGAATTACAATACTGTACTATATAATACCTGTATAAGTACTATAGTTACATAAAGTGATATTAATTCAGTACTGTATACAGTATAATGATTGTTAATATGCATGTTACCACAAGGGGATGAGGATGAGAGCTTAAAACCACACACGTCCTAAGCACTGGGTAGACACGTGCAAAATATATTTATACTTGTGGTTGAATTTACCGGGTAGTTATAGATCAAAGAACTTGACATGCAAAATTAGCATATGATTTTATTTAGTTATTGATAATTATATTATACAAAGTACTGTAATTATATATTTTTTGTATTTAATATGATGAAAATAGCTAGACTGTAGTAAGTACTCTTGGTTATTTGCAGGATTTATATTTTAGTTGACACCCCCATCACCTTAACCTCATTAGCACCCATCCCTTCCCATCACATCTATCAGCTTTCACACACACACACACACACACCCTGCTGATTTGCGGACAGATCTGCCATTTTACATTAATTCAGGATCCAGCCGACATACACCAAGAGGTCACATTTGCATGGCTTTCTCAGCATTCTGGAGGTGATTAGCTAGGGCAACAGCTGCTATTTGTCAACCACCTAAGGGATAATAATTGACAGTACCTCAGTAGCTTTGCTCTACTAGTCTTCTACAGAGTGACTGATACCCTCCCTCCTCCTTTAGGGTCATACATAGTCAGCTAGAAGACTGAATGAATCCAAGTCGGCCAATTGGTCCTGGAATCACGATGGATGTATCTGGTCAAGTGTGTATAATGACTGTGAACATATGGTCTAATTAGACTTCTTGCCCCTAGAGGGCAACATTTGCATCTTATCCCCACTCAGGGAGGTACTACCACCTGGGAAGATAATGGAAGCACACCGTGTTGTCTAATGGTAGCCTCTGCTGCTATATGGCATCACGAAAATTTTGACCAAGTACCACGTTGCTAATCTGTCTTCCTGCCTCATTTACACACAATTGCAGGGTCTTAATTGTTTCTCTTACTTGTTAACAATACACAAAGTGAAATTAGTTCTAATGGTTTTGAACCTAAGAAATGTTGATGAAAAGTCAAGTAGGATGAAAGATTGAAACTTACCATTCAGAAGTAGTTGGATGAACAATTGATGAAAAAAGACACTAAAATTTGATTAATTGGGGGCTGAAAAAGTAGTATTGTATACAGATAGGAAGAAACAGGATGTGGAAAGACAGGAACAGTATGATGGAATGAAGGTCAACAAGACACCTATAGAAAAAAAAGTTAGAAGACATATGTGCCAATAGATACTGCACTGACTAATGGGAAGAAAGAACAATTTAAAGTGTTAAATGAGATGGTAAGATTAAATAAAAGAAAAATTAAGAGGATTTTGACAAGAGAAATGTTTAATAAACATTGTTAAACGTTTTTAGAAACATAAAAGAATTTAAAATGGAGGTACAAGGAAGATTTGTCAGGTACAGAGTGAGGTATGTTTGTGTGTGTGTGTGTGTGGGGGGAGGGAGAGTTTGGTACAGTACAGAGGAACATGTGGTACAGAGTGCATGGGTGTGTGTGTGTGGTGGATGTGTGGCAGTGTGTGAGTAGGTGTGGTTGATTTGTAGTAGTGTGTGTGTGTGTGGTGGATTTATGGTACAGTGTGTGTGGGTGGTGGATGTGTGGCAGTGTGTGTGTGTATAAGTGTGGTGGATTTGTGATAGTGTGTGTGGTGGATTTGTAGTAGTGTGTGTGTGTGTGTGTGTGGATTTATGGTACATTGTGTGTGTGTGTGTGTGTGTGGATTTATGATACAGTGTGTGTGTGTGTGGTGGATTTATGGCACAGTGTGTGTGTGTGTGGTGGATTTATGGTACAGTGTGTGTGGGTGTGGTGGATTTATGGTACAGTGTGTGTGTGTGTGGTGGATTTATGATGGATTTGTGGTGTGTGTGTGGTGGATTTATGATACAGTGTGTGTGTGTGGTGGATTTATGGTACAGTGTGTGTGTGTGTGTGGATTTGATGGTACAGCAGTGTGTGTGGGTGGTGGATTTATGGTACAGTGTGTGTGTGTGTTTATGGTGTGTGTGTGTGTGTGGTGGATTTATGGTACAGTGTGTGTGTGTGTGTGGATTTATGGTACAGTGTGTGTGTGTGGTGGTGGATTTATGGTGTGTGTGTGGTGGTTATGGTACTGTGTGTGTGTGTGTGGTGGCTTTATGGTACAGTGTGTGTGTGTGGTGTGATTTATGGTACAGTGTGTGTGTGTGTACAGTGTGTGTGTGTGTGGTGGATTTATGGTACAGTGTGTGTGTGTGTGGTGTGATTTATGGCACAGTGTGTGTGTGTGTGTGTTTATGGTACATTGTGTGTGTGTGTGTGTGTGGTGTGTTATGGATGTGTGTGTGTGTGTGGTGGATGGTACAGTGTGTGTGTGTGGTGGATTTATGGTACAGTGTGTGTGGGTGGTGGATTTATGGTACAGTGTGTGTGGGTGGGCATGCATATACAATGACAAGGGGGAAGCTGTATGACTAGCCCTGCTGCCTTGGCACCACTCATTGGCACCCATCCAGCCTTGTCTCTCATCACCACCTCCATGCATGCATATACAATGACAAGGGGGAAGCTGTATGACTAGCCCTGCTGCCTTGGCACCACTCATTGGCACCCATCCAGCCTTGTCTCTCATCACCACCTCCATGCCTCTCACAACAACACCATCACCACCTCCATGCCTCTCACAACAACACCATCACCACCTCCATGCCTCTCACAACAACACCATCACCACCTCCATGCCTCTCACAACAACACCATCACCACCTCCATGCCTCTCACAACAACACCATCACCACCCACATCATCATCATCACAGTTTTACAGCCATTTTCCACTCTTGTGGATTAGCTGTGATTTCCTGATGGCAATTATTCATGCTGCCCAATCTTTTGCAGCCTCTCTCATCAGGTTCTTAACTCTAATGTAATTTCTTACAACTTTTCCCCATGTCATGTGGTTTTCCTCCCCTCCACATTTAGACTTGATGCACCTCTTGACTCAATTGATCTCATTCTCTCCACATGTTCATACCATCTCAGTCTACCTCTACACATAATCTCACTAATACTCCCAGAACCCAGCTGCCCTCTTAGCTCTGGACAGGGCTCCCCATCTTTCATTGTCATATTGCATATCCATCTTACTATTCATGTATCAGCTCATTCAAGCCTGCATATGTCATCCTCTTAACTGCACATGTTCACTGCCATTTCTCACACCAGTTACATATATTTTTCCTTTCACATGAAGAGAAGGTCCTCACATCATCAATAAGACAACAGTTCAGGAAGACAATAATTAATTAGACATTTACGATTATGACAAATTTGGTTGCTATACATTAAGCTAGAGTGATAGTTAAAATCCCTGATATGTACACCATCCAAAATATTTATCTATCTGTCCCAACCAAAATTTTCAAGTCTACCAGTACCCCATCAATCAATTGGAGGCTATCTTGTTTGAGGGTTAGTGATCATAGCCCCTTCACCAAATGTGTGTATACCTCCAGGACCCTAGTGTTTAGTTCCAGTCATTCATCCCTGTTTCTGTCTCCCCTGATCATCCCAAGGTATCCCCAGTTTTATTTATTTTTTTATCATGTCAGTTATTAACTTTTCGGGTGGGGGTTATATTATTTACTGTACTTTGTTATGACATTTATTATCCAGTGTTAGAGACCCATATCTCCATTTAACAAAGTTGGACAACACTTTATATCAATCTCATCTAAGATATACAGTAGAAAGCTACATATCGTAATTTATTACAAAAGGACACATGACAGTATTTACTGTATAAGGTGTATTAACCTGGATCTCCCGAAGATTAGACTCATAGTGCTAACCAAACCTAATCTAATCTAACCTAATCAACCCTAACCTCACCTAATCTTACCTAGACTAATTTAACCTAACCTAACCCCACGGTTAACATTAGGATAGTCACTCTTCAGGTGAAATAAACTGGGGTGTTTAATCTTCAGGTGAAATAAACTGGGGTGTTTAATCTTCAGGTGATCTAAACTCGGAAGAACATCTTGCTTACTATTCACACATGGTCAGAAATCAAGAAAGGGAGAGACCCAAACCCAACGACGCAGCTGATGACTGACTACAAAAGGAAGAAGCCACTGAGTAACAGAAGGAGGTGTCCTCCCAGGCTGAAGAAAATTGTGGAAATACTGTACAGCATTGAGAAACATGTTCTGGTGACATATAAACCAGAAGAGGGAGAGTCACACTTCTTTTGTGGCAAATTTATTATTTTCTAAAAAGGAAAGATGTGAATTACACGAAAGCTCTTGGGAACTTCGTGTTTTCTTTTTCCTTGTGGTTATCAGCATATATATATATATATATATATATATATATATATATATATATATATATATATATATATATATATATATATATATATATATATATATATATATATATATATATATATATATATATATATATATATATATACAGTATATATATATATATATATATATATATATTAATTTATTTATTTATATTACAGTATAGTCTTGTTCGTGGTCATTTCCCAACATTTATCGTGCCAGCCCATGACTGACACAGGTGGAGTATTTGAAAGCAGGTAAGAGATTGCACTTTTATTTCCACCGATTTTCTTCGTTCCTTAATATCTGTCTGTTCTTCGTATCGAAAATATATAAAGCATATATTCAAAACTTGGTAATTTTGTCAGTCTTTGTCCGTGTAAATACATTTGCAATGAATTGTTGGCGTGGGTAAACTGATTCAGGTACAGTACACTTCTTTACTTTTACTTTATTTATTCTCTTCGCCACTGATCGGCTTGTTAGTCGCTTGGATAGTTAGTTACAGTGGCGGCTCGTGAAAAATTAAATGGAGGGACTGCAAGCCTCACACAACAGTAGGTGACCTACCTCAGGTATGAGTTGTAGTTGATGTCCACTAATTCCCAGGGCATGGTAGTAGTGTTGGTGGTGATGGACCAGTATTAATTGACAATAAAGTCCGTGCGTCTGCTCTTCGATGTAGCAAAATTGTTTATTACTATTTCATTAAAATCCTTTATTTCTGTTATCATTTTATTTTCAATGGATATCACTGCTAAAGCAGACAGTCTGTCATTCTGATAAACACTGATGTTAAACTGGCGTGTATATTCTTTGTTCCTGCTTGTACTGTTCTGTTGAATGGATAAAACTGGTGTAGGTCTTCCTCTTGCTTTGATTTCAGTCTTTTCATTTAATGTCAGCTGGGAAAAGTTGATGTTTTGCAAATACTTCACTCGATTTTCCATCGTCAAAGGGTAATTAAAGAAAGCACGATTTAACCACACGGTCCACACGCAATGTAAACACGTTGTACGAGACTGAGCTGCTTCAAGTGCAGCTCGGCGGCGCAATTAATAACAGACATGAATCGTACAGCATTGACAGCAACTATGAAAGTAACTTAAATTTTGGTCTGATTTTAATGAAAATTCACTTAGCAACGTATTGAAAATAATTAAATAACATATAAAATGATATATTTGTTGGTAGTGTATTATTCAGCTGTCTCTCTAAAGGAATCATACGCCTGGCAGTGAGTGTCTGGGGGGACTGGTTAGTTATGTCTCTCTTACTCATTGTTGGCAACTATCTACCTACTCCAGGCAACTATCTACCTACTCCAGGCAACTATCTACCTACTCCAGGCAACTATCTACCTACTCCAGTGTTGGTCAAGTCTGGTCTTAAATGAGGTCACACTCACTCAAGAGTTTACAGCTTGGTTACTTCAGTTGGAACAAGGATTTGTTTTGGTAATTATTGACCCGCTGGCGAAATTGAATGAAAACAATTATAAAAACGCCGGATTTTCATTATTATATTATAGTGGACACTGTTGTAGTTTGTAGAAAGATGTTAAAAAATTAATATTTTTAAAATAAACGCTACTTAACATTTGTGGTTATGAAGAACAGACCTAACCAACCAAACCTACCTAACTAACCTTACCTAATTTCCCCGGTATATTAAACAGAAAGAACTTGCTATGATATGGTGAAATTTGAGGCATTTTCTGGCGTGAGATGATACGGTCACACAGGCGCTATGCAGCCCGGCGGGTTAGTCCTATATATTAACCGTATTTTACAGTGGATGCTGTAGTAATTTAGGCGATGGGGTAAATATTCATTCATTGGCTGTCCTCGGGTTTTGATACAAGAATATTTTTCTGGTGTTTTATGGTGTGTTTTACTCGACTCCGAACTTCATTTTTTGTGCAAATTAGTGGTTTAAAAAAAATGGTGTTTTTATATTAGTGCACCATTCTATCTAACCTAACCTAGTCATCCCCCCTGATTAGGTTTGGTTTGGTTGGTTTTGGGTGATTTACTATTTTTTTTTTCCATGGGAAATGCTTTGGGTTTTTTTAAGATGCAAGTCATCCCTGATCAAAAACGGCTATTTTCAATAAAAAACGAAGGTGAGATTTGAACAAAATACATCCAAATGCATCAGAAACCAAACATCTAGATCCCTAACTTTCACTAAATTAACCTACCTTAACCTAACCCCTGCGGGAGGCCCTAACCCCTGCAGTGTGAAACGCCTCACGGCTCCAGACAGCTCGCGGTGAGACAAGAAATAGCTGGTGTAGAATTAAGTAAGTGCTTTTATGCGATTTGAAGATGTGCTAAACCGAATAATAGCCCATATTTCTAATACCCATATAAAGAATGGTGCACTGCTATAAATGAACATTTTCATTTGTAACAGAAATCGCTAATTTGTACAAAAATGGCGGTCAGGTTTGAGTGAAACACCATAAAACACACAAAAAAAAACTAACCTAACCTACAATATATACTGTACAACCTAATTCAGCCATTTTTGCCCCCCAGGCCCTGTTGTGGGTCGTTTGACCTATGTCCTGGTGGGCTAATTCCCGTAAAAAAAAGAACATTTTATTTGGAGCTTAACTGCTACTGTGGTAGAGGATACAGCTGGGTGATCTGGAGAAGGAAGTGGTGGAGGATGGTAATTTATGTCTTTTCTTAAAAGTAAAAAAATTCCACACTTACTGTAGGTCACAGTCTTCATGTTGGTAGGACTTTGTGATCTTGTAATATTTAGATTGCTTCACTGTCGTTCTCATAAACTTGCTGAATAACAGCTAGATAAGGGAGACAGCACTTATCACATGCCATTACAAAAGCCTTCAAAATTCGAAATTGCACGGTGGAAGGGCTGCTTCAAAATGATTGGCCAGCCAAGTCACATGACACGATACTTGAAGGTTACCATGTCGCGAAGAGGAGGAGGAGAGAAGTGACTTTGGCAACATGGTGGGTACAGAAATTTACGCCTAGAAATTTGTAAGATACCCCATTAATATTGATTTGCACAAGAAATTATATGCAGTCATATATTTGGTTTTTTATAGTCTTTGTGTCTGTAATATTGAAAATTGGGAACCTATGGACAGCCAATGGACGAATATTAACAGGTTAATGTGTTAAAAAGTGGTTATTTCTAAATTAAACCTAACCTTAGTTGAAAAGAAAATAAGCATTGTTAAAAGACCTCATCTACCTAACCCCAAAAAAAAAACCTAACCTTACCGGTTTATTATTGTTTCGGCCATGCAGCTGTAGTAGGCAATTGTTTATTGTAGTAGGCCCATAAGAAAAACAGAATTCATCATAGGCTTTATTCTACAATAATTCAAGCATCTTGCAAAAAAATCAAGAGGAACAAATACTAAATCATTTTCCAAAGAATTGATTATCACATCAGAACTCACTGATGAAAATATAGGAAATAAACATCAAAACAAATAATGCGTGGGGAGGTTGGTGCAATGTCAGATGTTTGGATGATACCGAGTAATAAATTCGAAATGACAACATTGTAGTGTTTGTTGTTTTGATTTTTATCCTTTTAGCCTATCCGTTGCTCATAAATTAATTGTTAGTGGGCAGGTCATGAAAGAAAAGGGAAATAGCCGAGTAAAAACACTGCGAACACTGATCGTATGGCAGTAATTTTGGTATTATTGCTTTTAATTGCCCGACAACTCTTGGCTTTTTAACATTCAGGGGGTCCCCGACTTACGAATGTCCAACTTTCGAACGCCCGCTGATACGTACAGGGTTAAACTAGAAATTTACAGTATTTTCTTTACCTGATGGTTTATTTTTTACCTTCATTTAGTTTTTTTGTCATTCTATTTCGTCTTTTGTCTTAAATTAAGTGATTTTTGATGTATATAACAGGGTTGGAAAAAACCATGATTTTTTTTTAAATAAAAAAAATCGATTTATTTGATTTAAATCGGATTTTTTTTATTTAAATCGATTTTTTTTTTACTAATTGCATTAAAATAGTATTTTTAAACCATAAAAACAGTATTTTTCAACCAAAGCTTATTCAGGATAATAAACAGAAAATTGGCATAAAGATATTTATGCAGTAGATGTACCAATGGAATTTAACACAATAATTTTCTTTTTGTACAAATCCAAACGTAATAATGAAATTTAACATAAATGCTCTTATAGGATTACAGTGTTTCAAAAATTAATAACTTAACTTCTTCAAGTCAACAGAATAATATTCTCATTTTGTAAAAAAAATAATACTGGTAACAAGTTTATTTTCTTACATTTGTAGGATTATAGTGTATTAAGAATTACCGGTAATAACTTCAAGTCAACACAATATTCTCATTCTGTAAACAACAAAGATAGGTCAAAACATTTAAATTAGCTTAATTGAACATTGAAATGCTTATGTACTGTGACAAGCTGAGATGCCTTTTCCTGTCCTAGGTGATTTCTTACCTTTGAGTGTACAAATCCATATGTGGAAAAAATTCTCTCAACCCCTGCTGATGATGCAACAGCTGTAAATAATTGCCTAGGAACATCCATTACATTTTCTGTCATATCATTGGCAAAATACTGCCATCAAGCAAGGGGTGAGAGAGATTTTACAACATCTTTACCAAAATAGACCTCTTTAAATGGTGCACTTCTTCCATGGAAGGACATTAATGTTGAAAGGAAATGTGGAAGAGACTCGCACACATACTGTTCTTTAATGTCTCGCTGCTCAGGAGTCGGATGTCTGCCCTGATACCTTGGATCTATCACATTAGCTAGAAAATGGGCAGGTGTCAATGCTACTTTAATTCTTTTTTTCAAAATTATCCATATCCTTCTTATCTGTTAAATACTCCTTAATATCAGTTTTCAGTTTTACCCAGATTTCTACAGCATCACTTAATAGGGTATGTTCTCTCTGGACACAGTCCAATGCCACAGCAATAGGCTTAAGTCTCTCTAAATAGTCTTCTGGAGTTCTTTTTAATGTCTTATCATTAACTTTCCTTTCAATTTTCTTATCAATGTCTTCAATATTTTCTTTGCACACTTTGACAAGGGTCTCCCAGTTCTTTAAATAAGATTCAATAGAATCTGTCACTGTGTTCCATCGTGTCTCTGATGGCATTACTAGCATTGTTCCTCCTGCTCTTCTATACAAAGATCCTGGGATGTGATGATTTCTGAAGTACTTAATGATTTCAGTAATGTGCTCCTTAATGTTCTTGATTTGCAGGTCTTGTGAAAGCAAATTTAACAGGTGTGCAGAGCAACCATATGTTATAATGGATTTATCTTGTCCGAATTCACTTCTCATTTTTGCCATATTAGCAGCATTATCTGTTACACAGCTTCTTTCTGTGCATCCAAATTTGTCTTCACACTTTTTTGTAGCACATTCAGCTAATTTCAACATATATTCAGCTGTGTGTCTTGATTCTGTGTCTATAGAGTCAACAATATAAATACTGTTGTCTGCTGTTAAAGTTATACATACTATGGGCTCATTATGGACATTACTCCATCCATCCATGGCCAAGTTCCTCTGAATAATTCTTAATCACTGAATCGTAGGCTTGATCCAAAAGAAACCCTCCAATTTGATGTCTATTAGGTGGAACATATCCTGGTCCTAGCATTTTAATCATCTTGATGTTATTAGACTGCTGTCATGAGGTTGACTTAAATTATTCTGCCTGTGATACTGGGTATCCCTAGTTCTTTCTTCATATTAAGTGCTATAGTGCACATGAGATATTTAGATCTTTCCTAATATTAAGTGATTGGGTGATCATGGGATGGCCTAAGATCATTCTAGGGCTTTCTTTTGTATTTTTTTCAAAGTTTTTCAATGCCTTTCCTTTACCCTATTTACCTAATGGCCACCCAAACTAAAGGTAAAAAAAAAAGTGAGACTGCTCGTATGTAAGTGCGCACATGTGAAAATATATCGTCATTACTGTACATAAGAATTTGAAAGCAACACTTATTTACTGCTCATATATATTGAAGGGTTAAATGTTGTACTCTGTATAGACAAGCAGAGAGAGAGAGCAGCCGAACTGCCGGATGTAAACAAACCTTAATTTCCCGCAGCTTTTTTATTTTTTTATTAAGGGGATTAGCCCACCCGGGAATAGGTCACTGACCCACATTAGGGCCTGAGGGGCAAAAATTTAATACTCATGTAATAATAATAATAATAATTCAGATAAGTAAAAGAAAAAAAAAACTGCCTATCTATCTATTGGACAACCTAAAATCGTTCCGGACCACAGAATGCCGGACTAGAGGGGTACAACCTGTATCAACATATAAGGGTGGACTTAACTATTTAATAATTAAAACACACAACACCTGCATGACGCACGGCAGTACTCCCACAGCACACGGCAGTACTCCCACAGCACACGGCAGTACTCCCACAGCAC